GCGGAGACATTCCTTTCACAACACATTCGGAGCAGCATTATCGATTTTGTCATTTGCTGTGTCGCACACCTTCGCCTCCCGCGCGCTTGTGAATTTGCCGAGGGCTTTGCAGCAAACAAAACTTGCCTCCGCACGTGAAAAAAAGGCTCTCTGTTTTATTCAGGAACGATTCCTTCAAAAGATCAGAAAGCTAATTACAAGTCGTGGAGCGGAAGTTGGATTTTCCTCGCCGACGTAATAACCCATCAACTTGCTTGCTATTCCGGCGCGATGGAGATGTGTTATCAAATAAAACGCAACACACCTCACCTCGTAGTGTTAAGTAATTATTTGTTGGTTCCTCGAAACACGCCCACTCTCTCTGTATTTATCTTTCTCTGCTGGATGGCAGATGGAGAAATAGAGATTAGACGTGGCAGGGACAGACAAAGGGGAAAAACAATCCTTGTCAAAAACGGAATAGGGCATTATTTTTCAATTTGTGGAGCACCGATCTATAACAGGTGTTGCTAGGACAATTATAAAAAATAGTTAAAAAATCGCACAACGAAAACAGAAATTAGTGTCAAATAGAAATTTTTAATAATTTATAATTGCTAAAGTTCTTTTAAAAAGAAGTTTTATCCATTTAATTTGTGTTAAAAAATGACAAGCATATAGTTAAAATAAATATACAATTTTATAGCAGCTATTATGTTATTAAACTTGAATAAATTTTGCTTATATAAATTTTCATCATTCATTTGGAGCAGAAAATTAAGTCATTTGGCACTGCGAACAGAGAATATAGCAATAATGTAATTGCGAGCCGCGCTTATTCTCAAATTGCGATCTGCAGAGCCACCGAAGCTCACTAGAGCCATTCAGCTGTCATTAAATAAGCGCTTAATTTGGCCCCCATTGTAAAATTACGCCGCTGCCTTGAAAATATGTTGTGATGCTCACGCCAAATTTGTTCTCACACACGGCGAGATTCGTTTCTTCTGACCGCGCCTCGGATGCTAAAAGCACGTCATTTGCACACGCTTTAATCTGCGCCGGGCCATAAAAGTATATAAAATTGGCGCAATTGAGTTATTGCCAGGGCTGCGCGTTCAATCAGCTGGAAAAAAATAAGCCGCAGGGGTGTAATGAGGCGAAATTATCCAAGTTTTTGTCTTCTTTAAAAAATATAATTATCCAAAAACAGGTCTTTCCATCTCAGCATTAAATCGTTCAATTAAGATAAAGCTCAACTGATTTTTATGCGAAGGCTGAATTACTTTCGAAAAATTTCACCTGCCACTTGTATGGAGGAAATGATTTTGCATTATTCTTCTCAGCACAAAACACTTTTCAATTAATTCAGCACTCGAACGTAAAGTTTCCTCCCTGGAAAAGGCATAAAATTGTTTGTGAGCATTCTCGTTTATGCAAATGAGACGTTAAAAAACACACACCGGCGCTCAATAAAAGAAGAGCCCCGTCGAAAATAAATAAATAAAAATTACTAATCGCTGAGTGCCTGGGCACACAAGACAATTTCTTAAATTATACCTGTATTTTTTTTTTATACATCCGCGCTAGACCAGGCTTATCTGCTTTTGTTATCTGAACAGTCTTTAAAGGTGCCATAATTCATACTTCGCCCGACTCATTTACAACTCGGCCCCGCTAATTTAATAATTCCCCGAGTGCGAAGAAACGGCAGGTAGGCCCACAACCGTTTTAACACGAATTGGCGCCGTTTCTTTTTCGGTCCATTCGCTGCTCTGCACAGAATGAATTATTCCTCAACGCCGAGAACCTGTTAATGACGTAATATGTGCCGGCAGCGTTTTGCTTTTCGATCGTTTTACCTCCTCGGCAACTCGCAGATCTTGGCCTCTCCGTTTTTACGGCCTCGGGCGGTTTTTGCTGCAGCTGAAAACACATCTCGTTGCTTCCAGCAGGTGTCTGGAAATATTTATTTATCTGCGTCGAGTGCTCTTGCTCGCTCCTTGAGCAGGCCAGGAAATTTATTCGCGGCACTGCTCGCTCTCTATGGAAAACAATAAAGACGCTTGAAAATGTCCGGTGGCAGCTCTATCAATAATCACCAGGTTAATTTGATTGCTTGTTTACAAGTTTGACAAATATATAGTTTTTCTTCAACGGACTTAATTGTATGACTTTGACAGATTTCTTAGTAAAATTTGTTATAATAAAAATTAAGAATTTTTTTTTAAAAAAGTTTTTATTGTGCAACTTATTTAGTATAATTTTTTTTTAACTTTTTTTTTTTTTTAATTTTTAATATTAATATTTAATATATTTTTAATAATTCTATTGCTTTTTAAAAATAAATTTGGATTCATATATTGTTTTTTATTTTGTAAAGTTTGTTGATATAAATAAAGTTAGTTGTTAATTGACACATGAAGTTGATGAAGTTATTATTAATTCAGTTATAACTATCCTTTTAGCTTCTACTTCCGCAGTTTGAATTTATATATCAATCAATGTAATGAACTAATGGAACTAATATTGGAAATTTAATGTACTACAACTAATACGAATCTGATTATTAAGGACACTTTTTATTCATCTTTTATTAATATAAAACTTAATAATTTATGTTACTAACAACGAAAAAAATTATTAATTGGTAACATTATTGAAAATAAAATTTAATTGCTTTTTCCAAAATTTCTTACATTAAACATTACTTTCCCGCCTATCAAAAACGCGCCACCTATAGCTATTCTGCTCAGGCAGTTCTTGCTTGGCACAAGCAGTAGTTCTAATTTGCATAATTACACTGCTTAACACCTTGTGCTGATTTACCTCAATCCATTAGAGAAGTAAGCCCTCGCCTAATAGCTCTCTCGTCGGCAACAACTTTTTATCGATCAAATTCTCGCGCGCCACAAAGTGTATAAGAAATTCTTTCACTCTCTCGCACCGCAAGAGAGGTTTTTTAACACGAAAAGCGCGGCCATGCATCGGCGTGACAAAACACGAGGAAAACACACCGGCTTTTATGATAGATTTATTCGAAAAAGCGCCTCGAAAGCATTAATTGTGGGCTTATGCACGAGAACGAGGAGAAAAGGGAAGAGAGAGACAGCCGCGGATAAGATCTTTATCATAACTTCTTTATTCTGCAGCTGCGCGCCGAGCGAAAAATGGTGAAAATTTTATCAAGAAAAAGGCGAGATGAAGAAAAGTGCATGTGTGCAGGCGAGAGAAACGTTTTGAGAGGAAAAAAGGCAAAAACCTGAATCAAATCAGATAAGGGAATTCTTGTCTTGAAAAAAGGTGGTGCTGTGGAATTTGTTCTAATCTGGCACAAATAATCAAAGAATAAGTCAGATTCAAATATATATAGGCTTATACAAATTGTGCATTGAAATCAATTTATTTTGCTCTCTCCGAGACCATTATTTTGATTTTGAATTAATTGCTGATAATTAAAAAGTCTAAATCTGATGGAAAGAGATTATTTAAAATTAAGTTTGAAATGAAATATCAAAAAACTTTTGTTATTAAAAAAGTTCTAGATATTTTTATTCATTCAACTTGGCAAAAATCACAAAAACATAAAATTATCTTTGCGAATAAGCTTAGCGAATAATTTTTTAAACTTTAATTATTATTTTTCCTTCAAATGCAAATTTGAGCAAAATAATATGCGAATAACTGAGTTAATGTCAATTAAAAGATAACAGTATTCATTGCAAGTGTCCCAAAATTTTTGCCCAATGACTAACTCATAAAAATATCATTTCTCTAAATTCAGACCCCTCGCTGCGAAGGGTCTCGAGCGACAGAAAGAAGGTGGCCCGGCGCACCCACAGGTCCGCATTCGCAGCAAAAGTGATATTGTAATGTAAATAGAGAGATCTCCGCAAATGAAATATTTGTCACCAAGCGAGCGTGTGCGATCACAATGACAATGAGAGATGATGCAAGCCTGCGATTCATGCAAATCCTCTCATTTAATCTATTTATGAGAAGCCTGGGCGCGAAATTGCGCGCATATAAATTCAGGCATCAGCAATTACCAAATCCCTTTTTCGGACGCCGAGAGTTTTCTTTCTGATGTCAGCATTTGAATTTCAAAGTCGACGCCTCTCTCGCTGCCAACAGACGCCTCGGAATAATATTTGAATTAATTTATTATTGTTGCCGCTCGCGGAGCAAAATCACTTTTCCTCCTTATGCATATGAGCACTTTTCTCATTTAATGATAATAAGCCCGCAATTACGGGCCAATAAATATTCTAATCAGGCAACGGCTGTTTTAGGAGGAAACACAAATTCAATTTTATTATGTGAATTCAAAAACGTCCGTCACTCTTTAATATTAAGCAAAGGGACACATGTAATAATTTTTCGTCTCTCTCCAATATGATAATATATTCTCACTCGCTTGGCCGCTTTCTCTGCGGTGCTTAGTATTTAAATAATGAGTTTTTTTCTGCTGCACCACGACTCACTTTATGAGGCAACATTATAACTTATGCAGATTCTCATCTCTCATCGCGGAGAACTGTCATAATTGTCGGTTTCGAAATATGACGACCGAGGACAGGTGCTCCCTTAATGAAGGTGACGTCACTCAAGTCAAAAGAAACAACCGAAAAAACAAATAAATAATTTAATTCAAGATCAATTTTGATTAAAAGTTATAAAAATTAATCCTCAATAAATCAGAAAATATGAGCGCTGCAAACCAATTTAAAAAATAAAAATGGTGATAGAAAAACAAATTTTTAACTCGGAATAAAACAAGCAGCTTGCGATAAGGAGTTGCCTATCTATAATGTAAATTGGCGGCGGCTCGCATTAAAAATGAAAAGCCATTTGTTCATGCCTTGTTTCTTTCTGCTTGTTGATTGATAACACGCTTGATACTCTCCTGTAGCGCGCACAGGTGCCTTTTTACAAAAAAAAAATTCAATGTAAAATATAATTAATTCCGTTGCTAAGTGCTTGATTATCTGCAAAACTTATCGCCGCCGTTTTGTGTGTTTCAGACGCATGTTTCCGACGCTCAGGGTGTCACTCAGCGGGGCGACGCGACCTGAGCAAAGGTACGCGGTGCTGCTGGACGTCGTCCCTGTCGACGGCAAAAGGTACCGCTACGCGTACCACCGGTCGTCGTGGCTGGTGGCGGGCAAGGCCGACCCGCCGGCACCCCCGCGGCTCTACATGCACCCCGACTCACCCTTCACCGGGGACCAACTCAGGAAGCAGGTCGTCTCCTTCGAGAAGGTCAAACTCACCAACAACGAAATGGACAAGAATGGACAGGTTGGCAGAATTTAATAATTTTATTTTGCGACTCAACAATTATTATTAGACTGTTTTAATTATAGTTTATATTGATTTTGATAATTGATGAAAATTTTTAGTATATTTTTGTCCAAAATTTGTTACAATTTTAAAAGTTTGGATATAAATTAAAAACCGTATTATTTATTCATGTAAAAAATCAATAAAAAATTAATTTTTGTTAATTTTCTTGGGAACATTTTTCCTTGTTATTTTTTTTTTTTTTTTAGTTTTCATAATTTAAAAGTGGACAAAAATTAAATTTTGTGAGACGTGCTGACGTGACGAGGAGCTAAAGGGTTGAATGGCAGGCACAACAAAAAGTCCCAAAAGTGACGGCGCGCGGATGAACGAAAAACAAATTTTTCCCATCGGTCTTCCTTCGCCAGGATCCAGACAGTTGACAGGGCCAGACACAAAAAGTCAAGTAGTACGAGTATTTGTGTGTGAAGTGCAGGAATTTCCCTTTCCATCAGTTCCATATGGACGTTTTATTACATTATACACGCGGGTGTAAAACAGCATCTTTGCTTTCCGAAGATGGATTCTTTTATCCCGGTCTTGACAGCAGCTTTTAATGCAGCATTCCTCACTCAGCACCACCGCTTTTCTCACCGTGTTTTGCATATTTGAGTCCGCCGGATTTATTTATAATAAAGAAAGGAAAGGTAGCCAAGTGAGCTCCCCACTGGCACCGCGTGTCCATCACCCGTCGCGAGACTCCTCTCGGGATTTGACCGCCTGAAAGTGAAATTTCACCATTGTTTGCAGCCAAACTAGGCTCGTGTTTTTTAGTCGATCAACTTTTTTTCTACGTTACGGAAATGCATTTTCTGCATGAATCAAGTGATTTATTACGATTGGCACCTATTTAAAATCGAATAAAACCGACTATTTCTACAATTTCCGACTAAACCGACTAAAACAGACAAAAATGACAGAATTTTTCAACTTTTTAAGCAAAATTAGGTTTTTCCAGACTTTGAAACAAAATTTCCGCAAAAATTTGAAAAGTTAAAAAATTATTTATTTAAAAACAAATTTTATTTCAAGGAACTGAAAGAAGCACTAATTAATGCTATTATTCATCTTCAATTACTAAAAAAAAAAATGTGATGGTCTGATGGATGAAAAATTCAAAATTGTTAATAGTGGAAAAAAAATGTTTCTAGCATATTTAGAACATCATATATAAATTTTTCCGACAAAATATCAAACAAAACACGCATTTAATTAAATTACCATGTTCATCTATCTTCAAAATATATATTTCAACACAATATTATGAAGATTCAATGGTTTCAGCAATTGTATCCTTTCTATATAACGTATCATAAAATCACGAAGTTCTGCATAATTGCTATATAGCTAGGTAATTTAAAAATGATGAAAAATGGGTGATAAAATATTATTTATGCTTCCAAAAATGGACATTTATTAATGCAATTCAAAAAAATCGATGACAATAATATTGTATTTTAAGGCTATAAAAAAACCGATTTAAAAAATCGACTAAATCCGACAATTTTGGCAAAAACCAGCTTAAAGGGAACTAAATTTCAGTAAAATCAACTAAAAATAGTCGACTTTTTGACTCCTAAAAACTGACTAAAATGCACGAGCCTAAAAATGAGTTTATAAAGAAGCATTTTCGCAAATTTTGACCAAATAGTGCAACTGACATTTTAATCGATCAAATTTAATTATAGATTTAAATGATAAAAAATAATTTCACCTTCAATTTTTGTCCTCAAGAGGTGGTAATTCCATCTCGGCATAAAAACTGAAGTGAAAAGTCGCTGGACTGAGATGATGTATTGCCAGTCGTGAAGACTCGTGTATAGTACTTGGAAGACGCTGCTCCTTTTCTTTCTCTCTTTTTCCACTCTCGGCTTTTGACGAGCCACCATCAGCAGGGGTCAAATTCCCAGTTTGGCGTGTACCAAGGTGCACCTTGTACCACATTAAGGAACCGCAGCGGGGATATGTACGCGTACGAATCACATTTGTCCACGTGGGGGGTCCACTTCATGTGCGATGTGTGTGTTTTGTTTCGAATCATGTGCAACATCGACCAAAAAACGGGCTCAAGACACACGCAGCCGCACGACCCTATTAAAGAAAGAAGAAGTTCAAATTTCCATCTCGCCGCTCTCATTAGCCGCAGTCGGGTTGATTGATTCGCTTTTCGGTGCAGCCCTAGGGCGACTTCAACACTCGCCATTTATAATTGAAATCAGCCACTCAAGGTGGCTATTTTTGTGGGGATTTTTTTCTAATGGAAATTGGAAATTAATTGTTTTTTTTTATTTTCTGTTCGCAGATTGTCCTCAACTCGATGCACCGATACCAACCCAGGATTCACATAGTCAGGTGGCGGGAAACGGGTGGTCCGATTACGGATCTTGAAAGTGAAGATTTCAGGACGTACATTTTCCCTGAAACAGTTTTCACTGCTGTGACTGCCTATCAAAATCAATTGGTAAGTTTAGTTTTGTACACTATATAAAAATTCATGTTAATATGAATTATTAAAAATTAATATTATTATTAAATAATGATATTAATTTATTATTCTTACATTAATTATATTTAATTTAATTCTATAAAATATTTATAATTATTAATTCATTTAGTCTTACATCCTTTTTCCATTTAAATTGTGTATTATTTTACTTTTTTATGTATTTTATATACAAATGTCCGCTACACTGATAGTCTCATTATTGGATTTACCACTCAATAGGTCTTCATTATCTTCATCATCACAGTATTAATGGAACGTAGAACTTAACAATACGAGTATAGTTAATTTTTTTTTATCATTTCATATATTTTTAAGAGTATAAATATCATTTTAATGCATTTATGATTGAAGGAAATAAACTGATAATTAATTATTCTCATCGTTTTATTTATATCATATTATCAATTGTTTTCAGATCACAAAACTCAAAATCGACTCCAACCCCTTCGCCAAAGGTTTCCGAGACTCCTCAAGACTAACCGACTTTGATAGGTGAGTTTTTCATTTCTCTACTTTAACAAAATAACTTTTGCATAAAATCACTGTTTTTTTTTTCTTACAATGATTTTTTTCGCGTGCGGCGGTTTCTCTTCGCGCAAGCAATAATTTAATATGCTTCTCAAATGGAGTGAGTTTGATCTCATCGCATGCACGAAATAAATACCATCGGAATGATACAAATTTGCCGACGCCTCGGCCTAAACGCTCTGCCTCGCGGGTGCGTTTCTTTCCTTTTCTCTCTCGCACAAACACAAGTTTTTTATTTTTAATCTGCTACTATTTCGGTGTGAGAAAGCCGGTCGGTCGGTCGGAAGATTCATGAAAAAGTGGAAGGGTTGCTGCAGGCCAAGAAGAGTCGGTCGTCGGCGCGCTGAAATTACAAGGCGCTCCCCGGACAGGCGTGATAATTGAAACTTCTGGCCATGTCGGCGGCGGCGGCTTCGGAAAAGCTACAAACGTGAAACGCCTCTGTTGAAATATTTCTAACTGCCCATAATAAATTCCTGATTGTTTTTTGACAAAATTCCTCCTCTCTCTCTCGGCCGAGATTCAATTATGCTAATTATCTTTTAAACGGGCCTACAAACGTACCAAACATTTTGCCGTCGTGTTTCATCTCGCCGTGTGTGGGTCATTAATGACCGGGAGAGGGCTTAGCTAATAGGTAATTAGCGATTTGCGGCGTGAAACACGCACTTGCGTTACTTTCAAATGGTAATTTCGGTTTAAATAAAAAAAATCCATCTGGCCCCAAATTTACAGAAAAATTTAAAATATTTTAATACTTTATCATTAAAAGTCTTTTAATTTTAAATAATTAAAGCAAACTTCGATTTTCTGCTTTTTTTCAAAAATAATATTTTACATTTATCATGCATTTTTTTTTTTTAATGTTTCAGTTCGCAGAATGTTTTAGCAATTTTTAACTAGAGCACTTAATTCGAACGGAAGTTGTTAAAAGCGAATGACGATGATGCCGACCATTATATTTTAACTGGAAAAAAAGCTTGTCTGCAGTGCTACTTTTCTCGTTCTGATCATGTCGGCAGCGAGCAAAATTATAAAGACGGAGCGGAGCCGAGATAATCATTTTTATATTGAATGCAAGCGCTGGAGACGAGTAGCCTGTAATTTTAAAACACAACGCACTTATATTGCCTCGACCGTAAAAATTCACGTAGCAACAACAACACGTTTTATTATCAGAAAAAGCATTTTACAAAGGGAATGATAAAATGATAAATTATTGCAATGCAAAAAATAATTTAAGTAAATAAGATAATAGTACAAAATTAAAATGTAAATATTAAAAATTAATTTAATAAAATAATATCATAAATTTAATATTTATTTTGTTACTTTTGATTATTTTTACTTTTATATTTAAATTAAGGTATTAAATGAAATAGATTATTATTACTTGAAGCACTTATTTAGCGTATTAAGCTTTAACAATAAGCATTATATTATGTTTCCTTCTTGATTTTATAACCTGTACGTTCAATGATTTTCTAAATCAATGATATGTGCTTTTTGCTAAGTACGTTCATTATCTCCCAATTAAATTTTTTAAATTGTATTTTCGTAGGATAATTTATTTAAACAAAAATTTCCAGCCATTTCAACAAAAGCGCAAGCCAAGAGAATGTTTTTTTTTAATAATCCTGCTCTAGATTAAAACAAAATTAATTAATCGAAAGTATTTAGTTAATAATAAAGCTACACACAATTCCATCAATTTCGTCAATCCATAAGAATTATTTCCACGATTTAATTCCAATGCGTGCGTCTCTGTCAGCTGCGCGCCTATTCAACTTTGGTGGCATCACAAACTTTCCCTCTGCTGCTGCAGCTTTTGTGACTTTTTACGCGCCCTCCGCTCGTTTGTATTGAGGTTTTTCTCCGATTTTATTCGTGTACGGGCTGCCTTTTGAGTGACACTTGACCCCGGCAGAGGAAAAAAGAGAGAATGTCGTTGCGGTGGTGAAACCGGCAGCAACAAAACTCGCTTTGAAATCCGGGGGGCACCCTCGAAGCGTTTTCTTTGTGGCCGAGATATGCTTCCTTTCGGTTAGTCACGCTGCAGTTTTGTGCCCATTCTTCAAAAGTCATGCCCGGCACATAAACATAAACAAGGCGCGCTTTTAAATGAATTTTAGCCGGACAATGCGCGCAAGGTCGGTGCGCGCGTTTCTTTTCAGAAAGGGTGCATTTTTTTTTTACAAAAAAACTTTTGTATGCAATTTTTAATGCACCACAAACGCACCATTCTGGACAAATGGAAACAAATTTTACAACTGCGCGGCTGTAAAAAAATAAAAGCTGCTTTTTATTTGCGCTTCCTTGTTTGGGAAATGGATTTGGAGGCAGCGGCATAAAAATTTAGGACTTGCGTAAAAATTTTACAGGCCACGCTTTTATTTTGGGATTGCGTGAGATTTTATGCGTTAATAAGATGCATTCAACTTTTTCCAGCTGTGTGTGGCACTTGCAAGTCAAAACATATTCTTTATACTTTTGGAAAAATTATTGCCTCCTTAAATCTAGATCAATGGTTTTTGTCCACGACAGTCATTCGTTTCCGGTGGTCTAATTCAATATAAAAGTATAAAAAAGATGTTCAATTAAATTTTAATATTATTTTGTAATTTAAAAAGAAATTTCCAGCCCAATGATTTTTAATTCGGAAGTTTTGTGCAATCAACAAATTAAATCAAATTAAATTTAATTAAATATTTAGATAAAGTGTTAATTTGAGCGATAATTTTTTTTATTAATTATGTAACTTATTTTGCGTATGTGTAATTTATATACTGATTTGTGGAAAGGTCTATTTTACTTTGGTAATAATATCCCTAAATAATTTCATTCGGAGTCAAAAATCAAATATTTGAACACGTTTTAAACAATATATTATTTTTTATTTTAATTCTTAAATAACTTATCGATGAAAAATAATTTTAATAATTGTTAATAAATAATAGGAATAATTTAACTTAAGGATGTAATTTTTTTTTGCGTACTTCTGGAAACCTTTTTTCAATAATGCAAATTATCTGTCTCAATAATTTCAAATTTTTGGTCATTTCAAATGTTAAATTCCATTTCACCGCACACGTGCCTTACACTTTCCAAACCCAGTAATTATTCTCACAACTTTTCGCCAGACCGAGAGATGAACGCACGGAGAATCAATACAAAAAGTAATGAGCCGCCAAAGAATGGGCCGCGCAATCAAAGTGAGATGCACGCCTCGGCCATAAATAATGAAACACGATGATTATCAGCAGGCGTACTGCAATAAATAAATTCACATTGTTCCATTGACACTCTCTTCTTGCAGGCACAAACCACATGTATCATATTTTCATACACACTGATTAAAATCTTAGGTTGGTTGCGATTTCCATTCGTTATCTGCAAGCCAATGAGAGACGCTGGCTGGTAATGCACTAATGCGATTGACCCCTGTGGCCCGTACAAATAAATCCGATCATCGGTTATTAAAGAGAAATAAAAATCATTGCCACGTGAGAGAGAGATTGGGAATAACTATTAGCGTCGGCATCTGGCCGTTGATTACAGAGCGGCCTGCGTTTTGGGGCAGGCCTCGCCGATGTTTTATGTTTTATCTCTCGCGCCTCTCGCCGCTAATTTAGTCGAGAGGGCCGCCTCAAATACTGAGTTGCTATCATCATTTCGAACACACCAAAACGACCGGCTGCTTAATTTATATATTTGTAGCGCAGAGATAATTCCAGTCGTCTTTTTTCGGGGCGACTTTTTTTTTGTTTATAAATAATATTGAGACGTATCCGGCGCTGCAGTTTTTCTGTTCGTATGCGCGGCAGCGACTGAATTTAATTATATACACTCGCCGGTCTGTTTTCAGGTGGAAATTAAATTACACACTAATGGTCACAAATTACAACATTCATTTGGGACGTTTTGGCGATTTTTCCACGGCAGTGCCTTCTATAATTTCGATTGATAATTCATGCTCAGAATTTTTACGACCCATTTCACCTGTGCACGCAGAAGAAGTGTTGATGGATGCCAAAATTATATATATTGATTATAGGGAAAGGACTGCCGAGAGAGTTTGATAATTGCACGTCCAGAATCTATAACTATTGAATATGAGGCTTAATTACAGCGTTTAAAGTCTGAAGGAAACGTTGGATTTTAGGATTTTAAATCGTCGCAGAGATAAAAATTTAATTTTTGTGAACTCTCACGTTCAAAGAAATGGGCCGTAGACACTGAAATATAAAAATGTGGATAAAATTATAACTAAATTATAATGTTTTTTGATATTGATGAATCTATGAGGATTTAAGTTGAAGGTGAATAAAAAAAGTTACAAATTAAGCAGGTGATAAAACAAAATTACAAAACTTAATGTTTATTAAATTCATGCAATCTGTTGAAAAAATTGAATGGAATTTTATTTTTTACAGAAATTTCATGCACACATTAAATTTCAAATTATAATATTCATGTAGCCACTCAACTCGCAAAATCCCTCGCTCTGATTGTGCCTGTGACGTGTCAGCGAAACTCATTAGATTGCCAATTTTGACATTCTTTTCTCGGCTTAAGCTGAAATTACCCCGGCGGGTGGAGAGGAGTCGTACGGCGCCGCTTTATTTATAAATAAAAGGGTGGCACCACGCACAGTGCGAGAGAGAAGCTGCTGATCTCTTCGCTAGCTGTTGCGAGGGGACTTAGTTACTTTAATTGAAAGATTTAGCCTAATCCTTAAGCATACACACACACACCACCGCACTCTCGAATTTCATTTCTCGCGCAAACTAAATACACACAGCCTTCTTCTTGTTTTTATTTATTCAAGTCGCGACACGCAGATTTACTCTCGCCGTGCCATAAATATATAATGAAAAAAAACAACGCATTTTTCCCTCCTCTCACACCTTCTCTCTCTCCGCACGGAGCTAGTTAGTTTTAGCCCCGAATGCTGTAATATGTCACTCTGGAAGTGCCATCTGGTGTGCGCGCCAAATCCCCTCACGTGCAAAAAAGCGCCGGACACGTCTCTATTGGACGTCTCTGCGGCTCTTTTCTTCATTTCGGGCTCGCATGTTTGTGCGCGGAATCCGCATGACAATCAAATTCCTCGCACATTAGCGTGCCCTGATCGTAAATTCCACTACCTGGCCGCCTGTCAAAACGAAGGCAAATTATGTTCTGATGCCATCTGCGTGAATCTTTTCAGTTGTTCCAAATGCGTTTTGAAGTAAAATAATTTGATATAAACCGTCATCTCAAAACCGTAGAGAGAAGCAAGCCTAAATTTAGGCAACCTGTGCGACGCCACTTTTCTTTTCTTTTTAACTTAAGTTGCAAACGAAATTTTATTTAGTTCATGAATTTCATGATTAAGGCCGGGAAACTATGCCTTACATGTGAAATAATAATGGTGCTAAAAATCTGGTTTGAGCGATATTTAATATAAAATTTTTGACGTAATTTAAAATTTAATAAGTAATATTTTTGATTATCTTTCGCTTTATTTTTTTATTTAAATAAAATTAAAATTATAGATATGCTTTTGAACATAAAAATATATTTAATAATGTTTAGAAGTATTAATTTTGTGTTAAAGTGTGAATTTACATTATTGTTTTAAATCTTTTCTGCTTCCTTACCAGCATCATCATTGATTTATAAAATTATTCACTTAGTTTCCAGATTGAGGTTCTTTTCAGCGCACATTATTTTGATACCTAAATATTCTTAATTAATGTGATTATTCCTTCGATTACAATTTTTTAACATTATTACAATTAGAATATAATATATTGTACCCTGCTTATTCGCTGGTTAAAAATTAAAAATGAATATTTTTTAAGATAGTAATTTTTTAGGCATAAATTTGAATTGAAACATTTACTTAAAATTAGAGATGTACTAAAATAGTGCTTGATTCAAATTTAAAGAATAAAATCCATTATAACGCAAGGGATCTGCACCTACATTTCGCCATTTTGCCTATTTGAGTACATAAATAAAAAGAAATTTTCAGTTGTTTTCCGATGTTTTCTATAAAATTTATGCACAAAATTTTTCATTTTTACTTTAATCAGTTCAATACACATAATAATGAAATACATAATAATCCTGCTTTTGTCTACACCTAGTTTGACTTTTTCATCTAATATCACTTACATATTTGAACTTATTGTAAAAATCATCTTAATAGGTGCCTATTTTCAATTTTCCCACTCCTAAACAGTCTTTTATTCTAAAATTAATTGTTTTCAATCCTCTGTATGGTGAAATTTGTGCTAAATTGCTCTTGAATTTTTGTTTCAGAGACCCAATGGAGGGTTTGTTCCTGGAACAGCATTTCCTCAGATCTCCCCTGCGTCTGTACTCGGAGCTGGACGTGGACAACAACAACCAGTTGTACCACCCGGCACTTTCGCAAGCCACCATGGACAAGCGGCTGCAGCTGCAACTGTGGGGTGCGGCGGCGACGGCCGCGGCCGTTGCGGCGGCCGCCTCGTCGCAACAACAGCCCCACCTAAACAGCTCCTCTCCTACCTCCCCTCTGACCTCCCCTCCGCGCACGACGTCAGCGCCATCTGGGCCGCCGACCACGCCGGCCGAGCTGCACGCTTTCCTGGCCGCGGCGGCCGCCTCCTCAGGGCCCAACGGCCACCGGCCCGGCGGCCTCGCGCACTTGCCGCCACACCTGTGGTCACAGTGGCCCCCAATGCCAGGTCACGGCCCCCCTCACCACCATCTGCACGCCCTGGCGGCCAACGCGGCCGCCTCGGACCTTCGCCTCCCGCGGCCCGTTTTCCCGATGCACCAACGCTACAGCCCCTACCTAATTCCGCCGAAGCCCAATTCGGCGCCGTCGGCATCGTCGACGCCCCCCTCTGTGCAGATTCCGTCAGCGGGGCCTTCCCCCACCCCTGACTCAACCCCCTCTCCTAGAGACTAGACACGGCGCGATAGACTCGGAAGGTAGAAAAATATATAATTTATACATATTTGTGAGAAGCAAAGAGATGATGGGCAAATTTGAGTTTCAAACACACAAAGTTTAAACCCCTCTCTTTGTTTGTTATTGTGATCGATGTCTTTGCGTTGTTATTTAATTTACGTACCATGTACTTCATAGACAAAGCCAAAGATTGTTTTATAATTTTATGAGTACCACTATTTTTCTCTCTCTGTATCAGTGAGGTGCGTGCGCGTGTTTTTCGTACGTAATGACGTGTAAATAAAAATAATTATTCGCGCGCGATTAATTGCTTCCTCTGATATAAATGCGTGTGAATAAATGAGAATATTAAATATCCCAGCGATGTATCTCTCTCATGTGTAATAAAAATCTACTTTTCGTGTCACAAGCAACAGAGATGAGATGAAATTCTCCGAGTAGATGAATTGAATTAATTTATTATCCACACACAAACTTCTTTCATTTCTTGTTCGGTCAGGCTTCCTTGATTAAATTACATTTGATTGCGTCGTCTTGTTTGTTGGATCATCTGACGAAGGAAATCTTAATTTTTTTTTTTTAGTTTAGCGGCCAGATTCATTAATCAAAAGTTAATTACCAATTGTGAATTGAGATTTTGTTCCCAACTCGTTGGGTCATCTTCTTGAAATTAATTAACGGCCATGCTGGTTTTCCTCGCTCATCACTTGACGAATGGGCCCTACTTTCGCTAATTTAATTATCCCCACTTCCACTCTATGCCTCATTTTCACTGTTAGAAATTTAGGTCGTAGCGATATATCCTCAAAATTATAAAAACGAAACAAACTCAACAAAGTCGCGCAAAATTTGTTGTATGATAATCACCTTATCAAAAAAATTAAAACATCTCTCTTGTTATACAATGTTTGTGATAGATGTGTAATCGAGTGTATTAATCAACTAAAAAATGTAATCAATTGCTGCGCCTGAAATGTGAGGAATTATAAAAATCAGCAAAATTAAATTTTAGACATCAAAATAGAGGGATGCATGGTGTTTGTGAAACTAACGAAAGTTGTCATTTCAATTATATCGTTGTCATAACACACTGATCGATGTAAAATTATTTAAAAAAATCTCCTTTGCTTGGCATTATTGCGGAAAACCCAAGTAAAACCTCTATATTATCTCTCTCGTGGTGTAATAAAAGATAATAACTCAATTCGTTTTATTCTCTCTCTCTCTCTCTGTCTAAATTATATTTGCGGCGATGCAAACACAGGTGTATCATAATTAATTAACAAAAATTGTAAACTGCTGAGGCCTCATTGTCAGAAGTTCGAGGTCAAAACAAATGCAATTATAGAAAGAAAAAAATGAGTGTAAATAAAACATGAGCATTCAGTATAAGAAATTTTTGACTTTTTCTTTAAAATTGAACCTAACCTTTAAAATAGAACTAAAAATGGTCGGTAGTAAAAAGTCAGCTCTATTTGCCTAAATAAGTCATAATTTTTGAGTGTGCACAGCCTCAAGGCACGCCATACAAATAAATCATTTCAACGCACGGCGGCCCTTTTCATTTAAGCTGCGACTTTGCATGTCGGAGAACAATTTGGGAAAGTCGCGCCACCGACCATAAAATCTCGAGTGTGTGCGCCCGACTTGCGCACGAGATAAAGTTAAAAGCCGCCGCCGCCGTGTTGACCAGCAATTGAAATTATTTCCATGCCGAGATCACACACAACAATAAACCGGATTTTTTATACTTGGCTATGCGGCAATTTACAACTGCGGTCAGCAGTATCGTGGGTAATTAAAAGTGAGACTATTATTATTATTAACCTTTCAGTTTTTGGTGGAAAAAATTGACATTTTTACTGAGAAAGACGTTTGTTTTGAGATAAAAAGCAGCATTCGAAATGAATAAAAACACGATTGTTTGTGGCAACAGACACAAAAAATATCACAACTCACCTCCACCGCTAATGATAAAATATAACCTTGCATATAAAAAAAAAAGAAGAAAGCATCACTTAAGGTGTATTAAGGGCTAAAAAACAAGGAACATCTGCCGATGGGAATTAGTGAAGAGAAAAGGATTTTAGTGGCGGAAGTTACGATTAGGACAGGAAGGCCGCGTGGATCCGTCGTCCTCCCTGGCCCATCAATTTTTTGTCGAGAGCACATTAAAAGTGAATATTAAAATTATTAGTGCTATAAATTAATGATTTTTTTTTCATACATAAACTTGATTAAGGAAAAATGGCTTTTGTATGCTAATTTATTTAGAAAATATAATTTATTTATTTGGGGAAACCTTTTTTTCATTTGACACAAATTAAAGATGCTGGAAAGTATTGTAAAATTTGAACAATATTTAAGGCTTTAAATTTTAAAGTTTAATTGTTAATATTTTTAAATTAATATTTATTTATTTTTCAACTGATTTTTTTGTTACATTTTCCTCTGCTCTATCAGCTCTCTATCAGCTGTGAATCCCTTTTGCTCTAATTTTCCTTTACTGCAGACCCTATATATTTTTTTAATTTTTTACACCTTTGGCCACAAGCGCTAGTTCCCTTTTATTTTAATAGAATTTTCCCTCTCAACTCTGGCGCGCCGTCGTATAATTTGTATGTGTGTCTGCTGCTGGGTAGAGAGAGGTAGATAAATTTCGTTTTCAGCCACACACACACGTGTAATCTTGCAAGTTAATGTCTTGTGTTTCCTCTAATTTTCGGCCCATGCTTTATTGTTTCTCTCGAGTAATTGCCTTTTGTGGTCGGAAAATAATTCTCACCCTTGCCGAGGAGAAACACCTTGCGTGATAATGTGACGAACACTCACATAAGTGAACACAGCACTCTGTTTGCTCTTTGACATGAGTCACATGAGCTGGATAGAATAAAAGTTTGGACTTTGTTTAAAGAAAATTTGTGAATCTTCAATAAAAAGAAAGAAAGTCAACGAGAAGATTAGATCAAAATGTTTGGAATATTTAAATAGAAAAAAAGACTCTTGACTCTCCTAAATACGCTGCAGCTGGTGTCTTTTTTGGCTTGGATGTTCTAGCAGAATCGTAAAGCCGTTTTTTCAAAAAGTTTCCTTCTTTGAAACTAAAATTATATTTTCGTATATTTTAATATAACGAAAATTAAATAGAGGATAAAAATTGTGATTTTAAAATAATATCTTCATGAAATATTAAATACCGTGGGAAAAATATACATTTTTATTGTTTACAAGTTTTTGACTATACGTTGTGAATGCTTGTAGTGAAAAATAATTAATTATTTCAGGACAAACTCTTTGCAAATCAAGCATAGGTGAATGCTGAATATTATTTTACTATCACATACAGGTCGTGTTAAATATTTGGTTTTAGGCAACCTGTTGGACGTACCTGTATGAAGGTTGCATACCTTGACGGCGAACTTAAGAAATTGATTTAATTTTTTTAATTATTATCCAATTCTTCTAGATTCAGCTCCCTAAAAATATGTTAAAATGATAATATTTCATTTTTTTATATAACAAAGCAAATTTTTTTTAGAATTTCCTGCCAAAATAATTTTCGGATAATTCGGATCAAATCAATGATGCAACAAAATGAGAGCAGTTTGGATGTTAATAAATAGCGGGATTATTCAACACTGCGGCGGCGGCGGACCACCTTTGAAGGTCTCTAATCGATTCGCCTGCGTGCTCGTCGGCGAGGTGTTGGAAGGTGCAAGTCTGGGAGCGAAGCAAAGGTGTAAAGACGGCGATATGGGTGGGCCTCAAGTTCTCGCTCGCACCTCGCGGCGGCCTCGCGGCGTAATAACAGGCCGGCCGCTCAGCTACGCGCCCGTAATGAGCTTTTAATGTGCCCACTTTACCCTATAGCAGCAGCAGAGGCAGCGTGCGGCGAAAATAGAGGCGCGAGCAGTGAAGAGCGGAGCGAAAGATGCGCCCGAGAGGAGAGCAGAGGTGTTGTTTTGAAATAATTAGCGAGTGAGATCACGCCGGGTGGAAGGAAAAAAAAATTACGTGAAATGGGCCGGACGCGGCGAAAATGAAACGAAATGCGCGAATAATTTGCAACATTTTGTCCAGGGCGATTTACTCTGCGCTTTTTCTCCCATTGTGTTGTAAATTTTCAAATTGTGCATGTGTCCGACGGGCGGTTTTTTCGCGCTCTTTGCTGCCGGCGGATTTCTGCAGCGCGATTTAGTCATTAATTTTGAGCCTTTTTTCTATCGCATCAGAGACGGAGAGTGGAAAACGAAATTAATTTTAACAGAGATGTTTTTGTCAAAAAACCTCCGTGGAAAATCTGTTGAAAATCTGTCAATATGATTTGCATTCAAGAATATAAGTAGATAAGAGTCCAGTTAATTTATATAAAATATTTTGCCTTCTTAGAAATGGCTTGAAATGAATTTTGGAACGATTGGATTAAAATTAATTCCATTGCAAAATTTACCACAACGTTTTCATCATAAAATGTTAATAAAAAAGGAAAAAATATTTAAGAATGTTAGAGTTAGAATTTTATGTAGATTTATAATAATTAATTGTAAAATTAAAAGACATATTTTTAAATAAACAAAACCTGCGCTCTTGTCTTTAGATGATTATTTTGGAAGTGAAGAAATTGGAAGCTAAATTAATTCAAAAAGAAGAATTTGTTTTTGAATAAAAAAACAATTTTTACAATGAGGAAAAAGCCCCTTTTTTCACTTCCATGATCGAGTGCCAATTTCTTGAAGCAAATTAAAAATTTTATTATTGTACATAAAATCAAATAATTTGAAGAAATTGGCGCTTGAGGAGACGAACATGGAAGTGAAGTTCTCGTTGAAAAATGGTTTTAATCACTTCCACGCTTTAAAAGTTTGCTCTCGTAAAAATTCTTTTGACATTTCATTTTTTTCAGTACACTTTATTCTTACAAGAAAAAATTACTTTATTTTTCATTAGGTTCTTTGTTTCGCGGATTGAATCATTGGGCATTAATTGTGCAGCGAGAGTGACAAGAGGTTCGTTCATTCTCCGCACACTCCACTCACTTGATACGATGCAGCCTCCTTTTGGGTATCATCAGGGATTACAAATGGGTATGAATTATTAATGGCCTTGTGTGCGCCTGATGAGAATCTCGCCGCGGATCAGGTTGACAGCCGATTCGTCTGGCTTTACATTCTCCGAGGAAGCGAGCGTTGAGCGCCGCATTCGCGCGCAAGCTTGATTACAACTCGTAATTATATGAATGCACTTATAATAAGAGATTCAAGAACAACGAGTCGATATCGTAATTTACTTTCAGTTTTAAATTTTAAAACATATTTATAAAAAAATTATTTTATAAAACATTTTTAGTCAAAATTTATATTTTAAATCATATTTATAATTTTGTAACTCCATAATTATTTAAATTAAGATTTAATATGATCTCTTTATTTAAAATTTATTTATTATTTATTAGTTTCAAAAGTTTTTATCATGTAAAAATTTATATTTAATTAGCTTCACATTCCAAGTATCATATAAATGTAATTAACATGTATTATTTGTATTGTAGAGTTCGCTGGTAAAGTAAAGTGATTTTTTTTATTAAAAGTATATAAAAACTTAAAATATTATAAGTACTTTCAAATACATAGAATTTATTAAACACAAAATGTATACAACATTTCAACATGCAATTAATTAATTATTTTTAATTAATCCTTGCAGCTTCGGACAGGCTTAAATTATTTATACAGCATTCACTAAAATGATACAAGTTAATTTTCATCCCAAATTTTTCACATTCGCAATGACTATTTACATTTGAATGGTAATTTTTATTCTTACAAAATAGAAAGTGAAAACCGTGAACTGCATATCTGGTAATTAAGTGTCTTGTTTTCAAAACACTGTTTCTTCCAGGCCAGCTCGGATTAGTCATTGCAGGAGTGTCATAAAATTGAGGATCAATTTCAGAAATTTTATAAAGCTGATTTTAAATAAATTTTTGATAACTTTCTGTCTCTTTGAGCTCAAATTTCTTTGCTAAATCAGTGAAAAGGAAATTTGTCTTGACTTTGTGAATTTAGAACTTGCAAAGGCTTTCTTTAATCATCATTATACGAACATCTTTAAATAAATTGTCTTTTTTCATTTAAAAACTAAAACGTCTAATGGCATCGGCGGCTACTAAACTAAATCTCTCAATACCACGATAACACCAGCAAATTTGAATACAAAATTGAAAAGCCATAATTTATTTCAATATTATGGTAGCTGCATACACATTATATCCTCGAAATATTTTAATTAATTTATGTTCCTATTATTATGTTTCAAATTTTTTTAAGAGTCCCAAGTGGACTGAAATTGCTCGCGCCCAACAGCAGCCAGCTTTGTGCCGAGGAGC